CATGATATCATCACCAGAGCCGATGGGGCTAATGGTGGCAACAGTGGCGCTGGCAGCTCTGACGATCACCGTAGACTGCCACAAGTTGCAGCAAGGCGCGGACGCATGGAGGGAGGAGATCCTCCACCACCGCCGCAGCCTCAAGCAGAGCCGAGGCCAAGGCCAAGGCTCCCTGATTGGACTCGCTTCGACGTTCAGCTCAGCCTCCAAAACCTGCGCAGCTTCGACCCAGCTGTAGTGCAGCGAGAACTCCGCAAACTCCACTTGAGATGGTTTCATGCCAAGGAGCCAAAAATGCGGATGATTCTAACCAAGGTTGGTCTGGGTGAAACCCGTTTGAGTCTGATCAAAGGCATTTGTGACTCGTGTAGAGAATGTCGAGCCTGGGACAAACCAGGCAACACGGTGATGCCTTCTGTGTCACTGCCAGGACGTTTCAACGAGGAAGTCGAATGTGATCTTTCTTTTATAAACAGGAACATATTGTTTTTCACATCATCGACCGTTGTATTCGCTGGGCAGCTGGCACAGAGATTCCTGATAAAGCTATGCATACTGTTCTCGATGCCTATCATACGACTTGGATGCAGCATGGCCCTGCTAAAATCTTATACTCCGATGGGGAAGGAGCACTGAATAATGATACAGCAAAGGCCATCCTTAAGGCTAAGGGAACAGAGCTTCGTATTCGAGCGCGTGGCCAACACGCTACAACTATCGAAGCTAGGAACGGCATCCTGCGACACCTCCTACACGTGATGGGAGAAGAATTGAATAGATTAAATATCCCTCTCAATTTCACTCGTCTCTTACATGAAGCCTTGTTTGCCAGCAACGCATTTACCTTCTACAATGAAGTGTCTCCGTACAATGCGCTGTATGGCAGACAACCAGCTATGCTTCCCGATTTCCCTGTCTTGGATCATGATCAGTCCGCTGAATCATCAGATCACTCAAGGGAGGAAACAATCAGGAGGGTTAGTCTGGAGGCAATCACGCAGGCCACTGCGGTTGCCAAGACGAACAGGGCTCTCCGTACGAAGACTACTGCTACGGGTGAATTTCACTATAAAGAGGGAGATCTCGTGGACTATCATCGCCCGACCACCACGAAAGACGACTGGGGTGGATGGAGTGGTCCATACCCGGTCATCCGCAACGAACCTGACCGAGGCCAGGTCATCGTGAAGGTCGGCAATCGCGAAGTGCGAGTACAGTATCCTGACACACGACACACACTGTACATCGAAGCACTTATGGTCCGCGAGATAGGATCGGACAATACGGCCCTTCGGACAGTATTGGCCTTTATTGCCGGTCTGCCAGCGGGGAAACCCGCCATGACTTTCGGATACCTACCAGCGAAACAGGGTCGGCTGCAGATGACTGCTGCGAGCCGACTTTCGCCTAAAGTGCACTTGGCTCTCCAGTACCTCATACGCAACTACTTTCGTATTGAAAACGTTGTTGCTGTACGACTTGCTAAGAGCCTGACGAAGTTGCCTGCTGCACCCTATGCAGACAGCTGTACTTTAGTGCACTATGATAATGATGTGACCCCTGGCTTTCATTACTATGAAGCTGATGGCACTGCCTTGAACATCTACGACATCACAGGATCTACACACTCACGCATCATCCAGTGTCTTAAATCCAGGAAGCCGTCTGCTGGATTTGACCAAGACCTCACTAAGTTTGAGGAACTCGCTGATGGTCCACCACCAAGCGAATCACCTCCAGCAGCTGCTCCTGAGGAGCCTCCTACGGATAACGATGGTCGGCTCCCGACCATCATAGAGGAAACAGAAGAAGATCTGGATGCTTTTGTCTTGAAGTCGTGGTATGCTGAACTGATGGATGACAGAACACTCCTTGAAGCTGACACAGAGGAAGTCATGCATACAGTTCCTACATACATGACAGACACACAGTGTGTGTTAGTCTCTACGACCTGTGAAGATGTGCAAGGCCACTTGCCGGAGCGGGGTCACCCGCCAGGATACGACATGGACACTTCTTACTACGTTCCTTTATGCTCCACGGATCCGGATAGCAAATATGATCTGGACTCCGATGAGCACGGGAAGTACATCGAGCTCTGCTTCACTGCAGACATGTCCAAAGTCGTCCTGTCCGAGCAGCAACACCGATTGTTGGATGACAGCAGCGTCACAACTATGCGAGTATACGTCAGTGCTGCTTCCAAACGTGCCGTGGTCGTCAAGGAAGACGATCTACTCACGAAGGCCGACATCCAAGCAAATCCAGTCAAAGTTTCCAAAGCCCTTTACACAGAATTGAAGACTTGGCTTGACAACAAATGCTTCCAGATGACTGACTTGAGCAAAGCGTCTAACATCATGACGTCACGCTACGTATACAAATGGAAGTTTGTCAAGAACGAAAAGGGCGAAATGGAAAGGACGATCAGGTTACGCTTGGTACTCCGTGGCTTCATGGACCTTGAAGCCTTTGATGTCGAAACCTTCTCTGGCACGGCAAGGAGGTCAAGCCAGAGACTGCTCGCAAGTTCTGCTGCATGCAACAAAGCTTGGATCATCGCTTCCCTGGACATCAACATGGCTTTCCTGAAGGGACTGACCCATGACGAGCTCGCCGCGGCAACGGGCGAGAAAGAACGTGTGGTGCGTTTCACACTACCACCTGGGTCAGCAGCTGTCCTTCGCACACTGCCAGGCTTTGAGTCATATGACGAATCAAAGCATTGTCTCCGGCGTCTGAAACCGGGGACGGGCACGAAGGATGCTCCCAGGGCATTCTCGCTGAAACTCAGGTCCATCACTAGGAGCTTTGGGCTACAGCCTACTTCATACGACGAAGAATTCGAGATGAGCCCAAACCTCTTGACAGCCAAGCACGTTGATGACATCAATATGACTGGGAAGGAAGAGGCTATTGACAAGTATGTCAAGTGTGTTGAGGATACGTTTGGAAAGTGCAAACTGAACAAACACACATACACAAACTGTGCTGTTCGGTACAACAAGACCGATGATGGGAGCGTCACTCTCGATCAGGACGAATACATCAAACAGCTTCGTCCTATCACACATCCAGAACTCACAGGAGCTGATCCTGAGAGCAAGGCGACGAAGACGATTTCTGATATGTTCGTCAGTCTTCGTGGCGCTCTAGCCTATGCGTTGATCACGCAGGTATGGCTAATGGTCTATGTTGTCTCACTACAACGTATCCAAGAACCGACAAACATCCAGGTACGACGACTAAACGCGGTTACCAGAAAATTACAGGCAGGTCCGAAGAAGATCGTGTATCAAGCTATGACTCCAACAGGAGAAGTCGACCTGCATAGCGATTCTGGCTATCGTCGTCTCAACGGAGATGAAGACGACGAAGTCAAAGGCTATGGTATCCGCGGGGCTAACCTGCTGAGGCGTGGCCACACGCAAGCGGGGAAACCCGTCGTGCACCTGGTGGACGCATACTGCAAGTCTCATCGACTGCAAGTGCGTTCGAGCTACTCTGCGGAAACACTGGCAGCAGCCCACAACTTGGAAGACTGCTACCCGACCATTGTAACGCTCCACGAGCTACACTCGGGACCATTGACCCCCACACAGTTGAAGAACATATTGGAAATGGGTGGTCTATGTATCAAAGTCACTCTGACTATTGATGCCGAGTCTGTCTTCAAATCTTTGTCTAGCAAGGATCTGAAGAAGCCCACAGAGTGTACTCTGCTTGGGCACATCAGCTGGATCCGCCAGATGATGGAACGCGGAATCGTGGAAAGCGTCCAATGGTGTGACACGCGGGATATGACTGCCGATGGCCATACCAAAGGTAGTATTGACCGCGCGTTGCTCCTACAAGTAATGGCCGGCCAGCAATCCTTCAAGCATGAGCTGAAGAAACATACGCCGTATAGGGCGGGCAGGTCGTCTCAGGACGGCCCTGCCTCCCGAGCCAGCGGGGAAACCCGCGGGCAGGTGCGCTTTAGTAGCGAGGAAACTCGCCGGTAGCGAGGCTACTCGCGCGCCCTTTCCTTGTAGGCAGCCGCTGCTGCTTAGCACTGTTTTTCCGCATAATGTAGAAATGCGGTACCTGCTCGTCTCCTCCACCTCCGACTTTAAACGGAGAAGGTTAAAGGCGAGGTATAAATCGAGCATGTACCGCTGCCGTGCCTGGCTCAAGCCGGGCCCGGCCTAATATGTGACTGTGCCTCACCGAGGCGCACTACTTGCATCAGAGATCGGAAAATACCTTTTCCATTGACGATGCCCATCCTACTCTTTACTCCAGATCCCATGCTTCGTCTCGCTCTCTTGCTCATGCGATATGAGCCAAAGCCTGGGATATGGGAGCGCTTACCAGCTTGTTTTCGACTCAGCCACCCATTCTCGTGGCAGTTTGAGGTTTTTGAGGCGAGTGTGGGCGTCGCTGAAGCGGTGCTGTATCGTGCCATCCCCTTGTGCGCGCCACCATCTTCTCTTTTTTCATCGGTGGCTACAGCGCCGACCGCTACGGTGCGAAACTTGTTCCAGGGTCTTCGTCTGATGGTTTGTGTGAGTTTGTGCTTCCGTGGGAGGGCCGGGAGGCAGTTCTGCTCGGGGGGATTCGGTTGTCACTGTCGCCGTTCATCCAGGTATATGGTTGCTTTAAGCGGCTTGGACGTTCCACGGCGCGCCCCCCTGGCATGTCCCTTGGCGCGTCCCGCGACATGTCCCTTAGTGCGTCCCTTGGCGCGTCCCGTGATCCTTCGGCACGGCACAGCGAAGCGCAGCACAAAACAGCCCCTGGCACAGTATCATAACCATTGGTATCTTCAGCATTGCCACTGCTCTTCGCCCAATTCAGGTCCTCTCCATTTTGCAGTTCTGAATCTCAATTTGGTTCGTGGGTCGATCATGTATCGTGATCCTCGTCAGCCTTGGGTTGCCCGGCTTCTTTGTCTCATGATCTTGCTCAACTCTCTGGTCGTTCGTCAGTTCGCATCTGCGGGAAGTTCCCACTGGCAGGCCCTGGCCGCGCTCCTGGACACGACTGTGCTGGCCAACTCGCCCGTCGACGACAGACAGGCCGCGGCAAGCGACGGACAGGAGCAATGGCTAAGGGCCCCCCCGCAGCGATCGACGACGACAACGCAGTCGACGACGACGACGCGGACGATGACATCGCCTACAGCGTCGACTGCGTCGAAGAGGACGGCGTTTACGGCGGACGACGACGACAAAGTGGGAGGAATTACAGTCGGGGCCCTGAAGAAGGAACCCTTCTCGTTGGCGAGGGGCTCGGTGTTCCTTGATTGGTTTACAGTTTGCGTTGGGTCTTTCATGGGCAATCGAAGTTTAACGTATGGGAAAAAAGGGGCCTCGTTCCTTATTTAGGGTTCCTTAGGTCAACGCCGCGACTGTCAGAGGGGGGAGTGGCGGCTCAGGGGGGGGGGGGCGACCTCCAATCGCCCATTGCATCGCCGATCGGGGCCTGGGCACCCCA